CAGCCTTCCTGCTCCTCTGATGCTGCTTGGCCTGCTGTGTTCATCCAGTTCTATACCTTGTTATCTCATTTATGTAATTGCTGGCTTTAGGAGCTTGCTGTGCACCAATTGGCTGTCATTGTTTCCCATAATAAATGGCTTCTGAAGGATTATGCTCTGTAACGTACTTTGTGACATCCCAGTGCTTTGAAAGGTGTGTCATAAACACCACTGCTGCCAAAAACTACTCTCCACATTTTGAGATACAAGGTGTAAAGCTGGATGAACACAGCAGGCCAAGCAGCATCAGAGGAGCAGGAAAGCTGACGTTTCAGGTTGAGACCCTTCTTCAGAAAAAACATTCTCCACCATCGGCAGTTCCTACTATCTCTCCACATTTTGATACTTCCTTCATTTTCACGACATTGTGTTAACTTCAAAGGCAATGTTTCAGTGGTAGTTGGCATCTGGAAGGTATCTGTTCACTGTTTGATTGTGGTGGGGTATTAATTGCTGATCCCAACCTGTGCTCACCTGAAATCCATACAAGTTGTTTCCAGCAAGGAACAGGAATATCTGTCCAAATCTACTCACAGTGCTGGTCTGGAAAAAAGCCTTGAGATGAATCTTATGTTTTTTTTTGCTAAGTCCAAGTTGGATTGGGATTTTTGGAGCGATTCACACCACCAGCAAGACTTCTTGCCATATCTTACCAAATGGACCTCATTAATTGCCTCCCACCCCATAGGGTACCTCTTGTCTGATCTGAGCCCCTTTACCACGCACCGTTCTCTGACCAACTCGGAACTCACTGAATATTTGACAAAAGACTAGTACCCTTTGTGCCCACGCCATCTTTAAAAGCCCTTGTGCACCCAGTCAAGCATCATCAGTCCAGAGCTCAGAGAGAGTAAGAACTGCCAATGCTGGAGTCAGAGATAACACGGTGTGGAACTGGAGGGGTAGGGGATATCTAAACCGATATCTATTTCAAGCCCACAGCTACCTAGACTACACCTCCTCTCACGCACCTTCCTGCAAGAATGCGATCCCCTAATCCCAATTCCTCCGCCTCCGCCGCATCTGCTCCCAAGATGGAGTGCTCCACTCCCGAATGTCCCAGATATCCTCTTATTTCAAGGATTACAACATCCCCCTTTCAGTGGTCGAAAATGCTCTCAATGTATCATTCTCCTCCACTTCCGCCACCTGCAATCTGACCCCACAACCAAAAATATATTTCTCTCCCTACCCCTATCTGCCTTCCTTAGGGATCGTTCTCTCCACGACTCTCTCAACCGCTCCACACTCCCCACTAGCCCCACTACCTCCGGCACCTTTCTCTGCAACCGCAGGAAGTGCTACATCTGCCCCTACACCTCCCCTCTCACTTCCATCCAAGGAACTTAAAAAAATTTCACATCAGACAGAGGTTCACCTGCACATCCGTCAATGTGGTCTATTGCATCCGCTGCTCCTGATGTGGCCTCTTCTACATCGGTGAGACCAAGTGGAGGCTCAGAGACTGCTTTGTAGAAAACCTGCACTCTGTTCGTGACAAATGACAACACCTTCCAGTTGCAAACCAGTTCAGCTCCCCCTCCCACTCCTTGGATGACATGTCCATTCTGGGCCTCCTCCAGTGTCACAATGATGCCACCCGAAAACTGGAGGAGTAGTACCACATATTCCGCCTTGGGAGCTTACAGACCAATGGTCTCAATGTGGACTTTACTTTCAAAATTCCTCACCCCCAGCCTCATCCCGTGACCAACCCTCCTCTCATCCCCGCATCCTTGACCTGATACAACCTGTCCATCTTCTCTCCCACCTATCCACCCCTCCCACCTCACTGACCAATCCCCACCATTGCCTACCTGCACTCACCAATCACCATCCCACCTAACTTCCCCAACCCCACCCCTCCTCTCTCTACTTATTTCAGAGCTCCCTTCCCCCTCTCCCATTTCTGAAGAAGGGTCCCGACCCGAAACATCAACTTTCCTGCTCCTCTGATGCTGCCTGGCCCGCTGTGTTCCTCCAGCTCCACACTGTGTTCTATCAGTCCAGAGCTGCCCTGCACAATTCCTGACATTTTCTCTGTACATAGCAGATAGGAGGAGAAATGATGCCCCACCCCCAACCCTTGCTTTGTGTGCAGGGTCATTCTCTTCCCTCAGGACCAAGAGGAGGGCCATGACATCAGACTATGCCAGTGTGGCCTGAGGTTTTGCCTGGGTCAGTGCAGTCTCAGCCCACTGGATGAGTGCACAATAACATAGGAAAAAGGTCAATAACCAACTTCATTCCATCAGCATAAGTGCCACCACCTTCTCTCCCATACATCACATTCACTCTGTCTCTGCAAATGCATCCACCTCCCATCAAGGCTCATCCTGTCCCACTCTCACTATTGCCTGTAACATCTTCCCCACCTGTCTATGTTTACCCCAACTCCCAACACTACTAACCATGAATGTGCTGCTATTCTCCCTCTCCAGATACCTCCCCACATACACCATCAGTGACAGTTGTGTTGTCTGCTTTCATCTTCTTTATTCCCTGCCTCTGTCTTTCGTTTCAAGAGAAAAGCAGCCTCCAATAAGGCAGCAAGAGTCAAAACAAGTGGTGGGTGACATTCAGCTCCTCAATCCATATGGGGAGAGGGTCCTGACTCTGAATCCCCTAAGTGGCTGACTGATGGTCTCCAAGCCTCCCCTTGACTCATTGTGCTGGTGTCCCGGAGTGAAGGCTATTCTCCTGCTGATGACAGCCATGAAGGCAAGACAGAAGCAATATGAGCTTGGTAGATCTTGCTGAGGGCCAAAGTGCACAAAGGCATTGCAAAGCAGGAATGCTGTGAGCATTCAGGTAGGCTCAGGGTGAGAGAGTACTATAACAGTGAATGAAGAGTCCAGAGATGCAGCCTGATCCAGTCCATGAGCTGAGAGTGTATGTCTGAGTGCACAGTGTCCTTACTGCAGTATTACAATAAGAGTTGCCAGTGCAGCCCAAGGTGAAAGATTAAAGTGCAGAAGCATCCTGTAAGTGGAGTGGAGATATGCCATGAGGATTCTTAGAGACTGGCAAATGTCAGATGTCAATGTGTGCTGCCCGTGGAGCATGCTCTGAGATATATGTGCCCACTATCCAACATGGAGATCCTTTGGACCAAGCAATGAGCTGGAGTCACCAGGAATCTGCTCTGACCTCCATATGGAGATTTTTTCAATGTCTAACTTATTTGGCATCTTGAGTAAGATGGGAAACTCAATACTAATGAGGTGAGTTTTGGCACTCATTGGGCTTTTAACAAGCAATAACCCACCTAACTTGGCAACTTGCCTGTACCTAGCAAGAAACTTGCCCCCAACTCTGATCTTTTGAGCACTCTAGCTCCCTTCAGCCCACCATTGGCTACCACTCCTCCAGGTGCCCAAATCCCATGCTCCAGACATCCCTCTATAAAGCTCTCCATCTCTCCAGCTTCCTCTCCTCCTTTAAGACCATCTTTAAATCTCAGTGTCTGGTTCTAGATCCTCCTTACATCTCCATCAGGACTTGTATGTTGTCTGTCTCCATCCCTGAAAAAGCACTGTGGAATACTTCTCTGTATTAAAGATGCTTTAGATGCAATGTCTCGCTCACTTTGACTGCTACCGTATAAAGGACAAACTGTGCAGGGGCCTGGTGCCTTCTGTCAGGACTTCAGCTTATTTGGGAAAACCCAGTCGCTCGGGGGAGGGGGAAGGTGGGAGGTAGCTGTGCCTGATATCCTTTATAATATCAGTCCAAGATGATTATGTCAAATGTAAACCGTGGCAAAGGTGGGACAATTCCTATACAGTGAGTCAAGAAGACACTTTCCCAAGAGTATCGAGGGATGTGTAAGAAATGTTGGCCCAGCCAGCAACACCCACATCCCCTGAATGAATGAAAGAAAATCAACCAACAGTACAACCAGTACATCCATTTGAACCACTGCAGTTTATGCACTGGAGGTAGACCCACAATGCCATTAGGGAGGGAATTCTAGGATTTTGACATAACAACATTGAATGAATAGTGATATATTTCCATTTTGGGATGGTGAATGGCCTGAAGGGAAACTTGCAGGTGCTGGTACACCCATGTATCTGCTGCCCTTTTCCTTCTAGGTAGTAGTGTTCCTGCATTTGGAAGGTGCTTTCTAAGGATCATAGGTGAATTTCTGCAGAGCACCTTGTAGCCAGTATGCACTGCTACTACTGAGCGTCGGTGGTGGAGGGAGTGGATGCTTGTGGATGTGATGCCAAGCAAGCGGGCTGCTTTGTCCAGGATGGTGTCGAGCTTCTCGGGTGCTGTTGGAGCTGCACCCATCCAGGCAAGTGGGGAGTATTTCCATCATACTCCCGACTTGTGTCTTGTAGATGGTGGTCAGGCTTTGGGACTCAGGAGGTGAGTTACACACTACAGCATTCGTAACCTCTGAGCTGCTCTTGCGGCCACCGTGTTTATGTGGGGAGTAGGGTTGAGTTTCAGGTCAATGGTAACCCCCAGGATGTTGACAGTGGGGGAATGCAGTAATGGTGACGTCACTGAATGACCAATCCAAATATGAATGGCTCGTCCGTTTCGGTTTCTGGGCAATTCTGAAGTGTACAAGACGAGTCAGAAGACAACCATTCGGGCTTTTTAACGGTTTTACTTCCTCTTCTGAGAAATCAGCCACAATTTGGTTGGGCGGGGCAGAACAGGCTGGAGGGGCTGAATGGCCTAATCCTACGATCCTGAGAGGCTGCAGGAGCATCTCTGACCTGGTGCTGAAGAGCTGGGAACGCAGTGTCACGTCCAGCCCTCATTTGGGGGTAGGGTGAGGCTGGGGGTGTGGGTGGGAGAAGGGGTGGGTGGTCTGACAGTTTCAGGGACTTTTTTGTGGAGACAGAGGCTGGCCTGGTCACGTGACCCGCTGTCCGGGCAACTTGCCAGCAGGATCAGATTTCTCACTCGGGAGCTGAAATCCTAGCTCTGTGTGTTTGGCTACAGACTCCTGCTGTCAACAGCGCACCAAGGGGAAATAAAAAGGGATTTCTAGCGGTTGTTGCAAAGTTCCGCCAGCTTCGTAGGAGCGCCCCCCTTGGAAAGTTTCCTTGTCTCAAAGTGTTGGGTGGGGGGCAGGACCATCGTTGCAACTCAGGCTGGACTGGGCTTCTCTGAGTCTTTCTCCTTCCTGCCCCACCCCTGCTGAATGAGTGCTTTTGGGCTGCAGTTCATCAAGTCTTCTTTGGATGCATTTCCTGGAAAATGGGAGCAGGAGCAATCACTGTTTGCGTGAGTACAGGCGGCCCATTGTGTTCCAGACTTTGATGCTGTGTAAAAACTGGGGAACGGCATCTCAGCCCCCCTCACTCTCAGTCCTTTTTACTCCCCAAGGCTGCTGAATTATTCAGCCCTCAATAAATCTGATTAACTGTTGCCGGCACCCCCAAAAGAGTGTCTGCAGCAAAGATAGCCACAGAAATCAATTGGATTTAATTGCTTCCGTGAGATAGCGTATCTGTGCTCGAACCTAAAGCTAAAAGAACAAGTTCTGAGGAAGGGTCACCGGACCCGAAACGTTAACTCTGATTTCTCTCCGCAGATGCTGCCAAACCTTTCTGTTTTTGCTCGTGTTTGGGCGAAAAGAACAAGTTGAATTTACGTAGTGCCATCAGAATGCACTAAAACGAGTCCAAAGGCACATTGCAGGAGGGTTTTCTCTACAAAGTTTCATACCAATTCCCAGATATTAGGGCAAACTACCAGAAGCTTGGGAGGGGCAGGTTTTGATAAGTTTAAAATGAGAGAGAGAGAGAGATGGGGAAGGATTTGGAGCGGGATTTTCCAGAGTTAAGGGTCTTGTCTGAAAGTACAGCCGACAATAATAGACCAATTAAAATCAAGGATACTTAAAGGGGACAGAACTGGAGGAATACAGAAAGCTGCGAGGAATGTAGGGTGAAGTTAGTTTTCAAGGTAGGGAGTAGTGTGGTCCAGGAAGGGTTTGAATACAAGAATGAGAGTTTTAGAATTGAGGTGTAGCTGGGCCTGGAGCCCCTGTGGGGCAGCAAGCACGGATTGATGGGTGGATGGTACTTGGTGTAAATTATGATATAAGTGCGGTGCCGGAAGTTCAAGGCTCAATTCTTGACTGACTTAATCAATCCCGTGAAAAGGACTAAGATCGTTTTCTTTCTCTCTCTAACCACCCAAGTATCTATCCCAACCTTTAGATCTTCCACTGTGAGTGTGGGCACCTTGTGGACTTTAGGTGAGAGTAGCGTTATGTCTGGATGTAATACTATACCATCTTGAGTAACTCATTCTCAATCACAGCCTAGCCTGACGTGTGACTGGTTTGTTGATAAGGGGTCAAAGGGTTATCAAAGGAACTGTAACTCGACAGGAGACTGCGTTCTTAATGCAGCATCGGAGAGGAAAGAAGACGAGATTTTTTTCAACCTGAAGTATGTAGACTGCTGGCTAAATTGGTGTTTCAAAAAGCAAAATTAAATGATATTTTAATGGATAAGAAACATGTATTTGAGCTAAATATCAGCCAGCTAGGATCTTATTGAATACCAAAATTGGTCTCCAGGGAATGAAGGCATCCAGCCATTTTTAAAATAATGGCAGTATGGACTGGGATTTACAATGGTAGATATTGTCCTGTTAATGTCAGGAGATAGGGGTTCCAGGAAGGGGCTTAGCTTACCCCCATTCCTGATGGCTTTTTAGTGCTGTTAATGTTTTGCTGCAAACACAAAGAGATTAAAACTCTAGGAATAGTCATAGAGATATATAGCGTGAAAACAGACCCTTCGGTCCAACTTGTCCATGCTGACCAGATATCCCCAATAAATCTAGTCCCATTTGCCAGAATTTGGACCATATCCCTCTTAAACCCCTCCTAATCATATACCCATCCAAATGCCTTTTAAATGTTGTAATTTTACCAGGCTCCACCACTTCCTCAGGCAGCTCATTCCATGTATGCACCACCCTCTATGTGAAGAAGTTGTCCCTTGGGTCCCTTTTAAATCTTTCCCCTCTCACCTTAAACCTATGCCCTCTAGTTTTGGACTCCCCACCTCAGGAAAAGACCTTGTGTATTTACCCTATGCTCCACAGCTCAGGCGAGGTCAGTGGAAAAGCCAGACTCAGATGACATTTCTGAGCAATTTCCTGGGCACAGTTCTCTCTGCTGCAGGAAGATGGTGAATTTTAAACAGTGCCAGGGTTGATCAGAGATTCAGGGGGCACGGGAGGCAGGGTTTTCAAAGGCCGATCTGGAAGTGGCAGCTGAGGCAGGAATGTATCCTGTGCCAGTGGGAGGGCACTACCATAACCCATGAAGGAAACAGGCCCATAGTGGAGGGGAGCACAGTAGCGGAATGAAGACATTCAGGTGGCACACCAAGGGGTTGGAACCCAGAGGGACGAAAATGCTTGGAGACAAAGGTACTGGTTGTATTGGACCACCATTTTGAAGCATAGCAGAAGTGTTGGACGCGTCATTTGTTGGTTTTACTCTGGGCAGGCTTTGAGGCTGTTCCTGATCACAGGCCTCACACTTCCACAATGGCGGCTTGGCAACAGTGATTCTTCATTACAAAACTGTTCAGAGGGCAGGACAGAGGAGAGACCTACTTCCTTGATCTCCCTGGCCTGTTGCAGCTCCTTTTTATTTCAAAAATATACTTTATTCATAAAAATATCATTTTATTTACATACATAGTCACTAAAACAGATCGCTTCTGTGCAGTAGCATATCAAGGAAACAAATGAACATTGAAGTTTGACTGTATCCAGCAGATGAAACAAAGGCATTTATTTCATGTACAAGATTATATTTACATACATTTGAGGCACTGGGAGGTTCTGATAACTGTACAGGCGCCCAATTAACTTCAGCAGGAAAATCTCAGATGGCCATCTTTCCCCACTGTGCCTTGGCAGCAGTTGGCCCAAGCTTTCGTGCATCCCTCAGCACATAGTCGTGGACCTTGGACTGTGCCAGTCTGTAACGGTCAATTGGCATCAACTCCTTGTTGTGGAAGACCAACAGGTTTCAGGCAAAGCAAAGAGCATCTATCACCGAGTCGATGGTCTTCCAGACGCAGTTGATATTTGTCTCGGCGCGCATCCCCGGGAAGAGACCGTAGGGCACAGAGGCCTGCATCATGGAGCTGCTCGGGACAAACCTCGACACAGCCCACTGCATCTTTCTCCAGACTTCATTCGCAAAGGCACATTCTGGAAGGAGGAATGCAACAGTCTCTACACCACTGCCCCCCTCCCCCAACCCCGCCATAGCCGCTTTGAGGGCAGCGTGCGATGGCACAGAGAGTCCAGGGTCAGGGGCACAGTGCTCCAATCCCGAACAGAACATCCTGCCCTTGGCAGAGCTCGGAAAGGACCAGGGGAGTAGGTTTCTCCCTTTCAGACAAAAGAGACAAATCACAAGCAGCAGTGAAAAAAAGGGTGGGGGATGGACCTGTGGGAGGATTATCAGACCTCTTTGAATGGCAGAGCAGCCTCGATGGACTGAATGGCCTATTTTTGTTTCAACACCTTATGGTCTAACGCTGGGGGAAGAGTTGTTCTTGTGCTACAGTTGGCTGTGTCCCCCTGAATTCCCCCACCCCTGTCTTCGCCCCTCAGAAGAACCAGTTTCTCTGCTGACTTCAAACTGAGAATGAGGGTTGGAAGAAAATATGTGAGCCGACTGTTTTTCCTCCCTTTTGAGTGGGCGCTTTGGAAACCTCTCAAATTGAAACCAGATGCCAGGGCCCTGGCTATGAAATTGAATATTTGTTTTAAAATGTCTCATTCGTACACCACCCCACTGTGCAGTCAGTACTCACAGAGTTGTGGCCTGGAGTCAGTCCATTCCCTGACAGAGGGAGAAGTGTAATGATAACAGGGTAGATCATGAGAGAAGGTTTGCCCCTGACTGGGGAATCTGGAACAGGGTAAGCTCAATATTAATGCAGTCACTTGTCGCAGGAGACATGTCCAGCCCAGCCAACATATCTAGGTATGGATGGACTGCCTTATGATGAAAGATTTTTTTTTGTATTCATTCACGAAATGAGGATGTCACTGGCTAGATTTATTGCCCATCCCTAATTGCCCAGAGGTCAGTTAAGAGTCAACCACATTGATGTTGGTCTGGAGTCACATGTGGGCCAGACCAGGTAAGGATGGCTGTTTCCTTCACTAAAGGACAGTAGTGAACCAGATGGGTTTCTTTGACCATCAACAATGGGTTCGTGGGCATCATTAAACTCATAATTCCAGATTTTTATTGGAATCTACCATGGCAGGATTCAAACCCAGGTCCTCTAGATTAACAGTCCAGCAATAATACCACTGGCCATCACCTCCCCATGTATGTTGAGTTGGTTGTGCCTGTAGTCATTCAAATATAGAAAAATGAGAGGTGACCTTATTGAAGATTCTTACTGATTTTGACAGGTTGGATGTGGAAAGATTGTTTCCCCTTGTGGGAGAGACTAGGTCCAGAGGGTATCATCTCAGAATAAGGATTGCACATTTAAGACAGAGATGAGGAGGAATTTCTTCTCTCAGTGAGTAGTGAATCTGTGGAATTCTCTGCTGCAGAGGACTGTTGAGGCTGGGTCATTAAGTATTTTCGAGGCTCCGTGAGACAGATTTTTAATCAGTAAGGGAATCAAGGACTATGGGGAAAGGGCAAGAAAGTAGGGTTGAGGATTATCAGATCAGCCACGATCTCATTGAATGTGGGAGTAGACTCAATCACTGAATGGCCTACTTCTGATCCTACGTCTTGTATTCTTAACCCTGGGGAAGGGTCTCAGTCTCTCGGCAGTGGGAGAACCTCCCTCCTGCCCACCTACCCCGGATTTGGTCAACGGCCTGTGTGTGTGATTCCCAGTCTCCACCAACTGGATGTCAATTAGACCCAATGACGATCAAGCCAATTGACACCCATTGACCCTGAGCCTCTACAATTTGAGCCTCTATTATTTATTAGTCACTTGTGGGTTCAATGGGAGTTGCTCAGATTTCCCACACCTTTTGGAAGGCTATTAGTGCTGTTAGATTGGCCAGCAGTCCCACCAATTAACCCCTAGTCTGTCACCAATTGCGGGACAGGAGATTGGAGGGAGGCTATTGATAGACGTCCCATCCAGCCTTCAGACGCCTGTGGCCTGGGGTCTCACAATAATCCTGGGTCTCTGGTGAGTGCATTGAGACCACTTTCCCCCATTCCCACCAGTGCTGGTGGCATGAGGAGCCTCTGA